AAGCGAAGACATGCCTGACCGCAACTGGCTGGGCCTAGGACATTCAACTCCGCCCTTCCGCTCCCACATGCTGTAGGTGTACCATCGGAGCCCCACTAAACCCCCCCCCCACTCGTCCCCCCCGCGGCCGGCGCATCCTTCTCCGGGGGTCCCGTGGACCGACTTGCGGTACGGCCCTGCGAAGCAGTGCGCACTTCTCGTCTGGGTCGGACAAGGCTCATCACTCGTCACTGCCAGTTCAAAGTCCATCTCTGCCTTGCTTCGAGCCACCATAAAACCGTCACAGATCCCCGTTCTGAAAGCTCCAATTCTCCGGAGACCTTACTTCACCCCCAAGATCCGCAAGCCCCGGTGCGCCGGCGAGGAGATGGAAGCAGAGGGCGAGGGCCTGAATTCTCTTAATTCCAGGTGCATAGGGGACAGGAAAGCGGAAGTGCGGCCTCTTCCTTCAGGCAAATCCGTCCTTAAGCAAAACTTGGCAATAGTCCCAAGGCAGATGATCTGTGCTCCAGAAGCCAACAGGAAGAACACAATTAACACATCATATCTCGACACAGGGCGTCGAGGCAAAAGTTCCGAGCAGCGACTCTTTGCACGAAGCCAGTGATTGAAATCTTCAGGACGATTAAGGTCTCCACCCCAGACGTGTTACAGTACAACTCCCCTTAAAGATGCACCCTGCCGTTGTGTTGATCAGAGATGAGGTCCGTAGCACAAGGTCCTTGCTTCTGAATCCTTTCAAGGATCCGTGCGCTCGATGGTATCAATGAGGGATTAGAAGGTTCGGAGTTTGGAGCAAGTCTCGGCATGTAGGGTGATGATTTATGAGTCCCCAGGGTGCTCTATGACATCTTCTGTGGATTCAAGACGGAGGCACAATGGAACCTTGCAAGTAGGATACCTCTGTCCTGAAAGGGGCTTTGTTGGGGATCCAGGAGAAGCGCACAGGGTTATTGACCGTACTTCAAGCCTGCTTGCGTTGTCACATGAACCCTTAAAGAACCACACCCCAGACACGGACAGATGGATAGGTAGATAGCGAGATAGCTCTCTAGCTAGATAAATAGCTAGATTGACTGACTGCCTCCCTGATTGATTGGCACCTGTCTACATTAGACCATTTGGTACTAAGTGTATGTATACATAAACTACTGACAGGCCGGGTGCGCGGCGCAGTTGGCAGAAGAACCTGAATCACATCATCACTGAACAGAATCCGGGTTGAGCTTCGACTCACCAAAGATACTGTTGCAGCACGAAGAGCCACAAACGTGACAAACTCCCAACTCTCCGCAAGAACGCTCAACTGCCTATGCCTATGCAGACCGCAATTGAGTCGACGCAGGGCCGAACCACCTCGCTCGACGCTTGTGCAGACAGCTTCAGGATGCTTTGATCGCGCCTGGGCCGGGTACTCCCCCCTCTCCCAAGTTCCCAAGTGCACCTAACTGCGAGGACCGGGGCGGCCTCTCTGCTTGTTCTTGTCGTGCACGGAGCACCAGACTGCACCCTAACGACTCTCACGACTCGCATCCTCAATGCACTCAGCCCCTCAACCGCAAACGCTGCCTGAACCACGAAGCCTTAATTCCTACATGGGACTTCAAACCTGGCCTAAGAGGGCCTTACTGCTACATACTCCTGTGGCTGTACTCATCACTGCTGCTGCTGTCACTATCTGTCGGCTGCGTTCATCCTCAATGCACTCAGCCCCTCAACCGCAAACGCTGCCTGAACCACGAAGCCTTAATTCCTACATGGGACTTCAAACCTGGCCTAAGAGGGCCTTACTGCTACATACTCCTGTGGCTGTACTCATCACTGCTGCTGCTGTCACTATCTGTCGGCTGCGTTTGAAATTTAAACCACGCAGGCATACTTATCACAAGGAGCTGCCCGAACCGACAAGCAAATTCCCCGTGGCCAATGAAACAGAACTACCCCAAACCCAAATTGTTCGCCCTACACACCAAGCCCAAAAATCTCCAGACCCTAAACGGTAGTTTCCGAAAATAGGGGACCCTGATATGGTACCTAAATTGTAGGATCTTCATTATACGGACCAGAAGAAAACAAGGTACCCTTAATTTTCGGAAACTCCCAAACCGAGAAGCCCTCGGCCCTAGACCCAAAACCGGAACCGTGGGAACCGGCGGAGCTGGCAGTTGGCTCGAGCTGTTTCCTTGGAGAGCCGTCAGGACTTCGGTTTGCTTCCAGGGTTTTATATCCGGGGCCTTAGTTCAACACTTGGAGCAGGATATGGACTCCTTGGCCTTAACATGGCTTAATTTAAGAAGGGCCTTAGCTTAGGCCTTAATCTAACGATTGCAATGGGGTTTCCGCATTTTCATTTTCAACAGTGCACGCTATATAGGTACTATAGAGGGATAATGGCCTCATTCGAGGAAGTGGGACGTTGAACTCTAAGGTTTGGGGCGTTGTTGGGGCAGATTTTTGCCAGATGGGCGTTGTCTCTCTGTCTGCAGCGGCTGGTTGTCGATCTGGCTGGATGCAAAGGTTCTAGGATTACGTGGCAAGGGGCCCTCTTTCGAGAGACTCGTAGTTCCTGTGCTGGCTCATGCTCAGATTCCGGAGGACCACTCCGCAGGAAATGCTCTGCAGACCCCTTGTCCTTGCGGCGGCGAGATTTCAAGACCTGCATCTCAAGCCACTAGCCAGCAGGAAACATGAAAAAATCTCTGCCACTAGAACCCTGAAGCCGACCTGACCCCAGGGCCCTGGCGGCTGAGTCGCATCAGACCATCCTCCTCGGGAGAGAGCGAGAGGAAATGACGGCGGAAAGGTCGAAGAGCCTGTTGGCTTTCAGGCCGCTTTCTGTCTAATATGAAGGCAGGAAGAGTTGATTGGAAACAACCCTTGTCCTCCCGAACTTATTTTCATAACGATAGCAGAATCGACCCCAAATGCCTGCTCCAAAGTGTTAAGGGCCCTATACTGACGGGCTGAGAGAAGCACAGGAGTCGCGAGGGTTTCTGGAACGGCTACTGGCGGTCTTAGCCAGCAGCGGTATGGAGATGCAAGTACACAACAAAGCACGATCCCGAAACAAACCTTACAGTGCTCGGGAGAACACAGCTTGAGCTGATGAACAAAGCCAAAACAAACCCAAAAGATCCATGCTCACGAACGGATTAGAAGCTTCCCCCCGGCTCCTGCGAGGCAGGAAGGCGCCCAGCGTTCAGCTTCGGCCCTTGCAGGGAGACAAGGCTCGGGCGTGTACTTGCTGCCGGTGATCTAAGATGAGGTTCCTTGAGCGGTGCTCCGGTGAACTCGTCTATGATGCTTCTTAGCTCCAAGTCGTCGTTTTCCCGGCATCATAACGACCAGCACTACTTACATAACTTCTCGACGACGACCTCCGGCACCAGTACTTCTTGTCACTGTTGTAGTGACTCACCAAGTGCTGCTGCCATTCCGGCAACTGCTGCACGCCTCCTGCTGCTGCCACTGCTGCTCCTGCTCCTGCTCCTGCTACTGCAACTGCTGCTGCTACTGCTGCTACTACTACTACTACTACTACTACTACTACTACTACTACTACTACTACTACTACCGCTACCGCGACGGCTACTCCTGCGGCTACTGCTACTGCTGCTGGTACAGGCTACCGATGACGACTTCTACTACAGCAATCCAGCACGCATCTCAATGCTAATGGCCTTCTTCCGGCCGCACCGTGTTCTCATCCACCGCGGCTTTGTCTGCGCACATCCATGAGTTCAAAGGCTCTGCCGAAGACTCCGTACCAGTAGCCGAGTAGCTATGATTCAAAAGCTCTCGAACAAATGTCACCGCGGAACATTCTCCAAAATATAGAGACGAGGGTCACTGAGGCGCTTATCTGAGCTAAGACATTGCAACCAAGTATTGCAACCACTGAAGCGCCATGTCTTTCGGCGAGTGGCCCAAGGAGCGGTTTTCCTACTCGTCAAGTTCGCTCCAGGAGACAACTTCTGTTTCCAGATGAAGAGCTTCCATGAGCACATCCTGCATGCTTGGCCACACTGTGACGCCGGATGCGCAACTTTCGACCTGAAGCTCCTGGCATCCTGGTTAGACATGTTAGAACGATCCCCATGCTTATCACAATTCACGATCATTACCGATGGTGTCAGCATAGCATTCCACCGGGGACTTGGGGCACGGGATGCTCGGACACTACAGTCTAGAGCTGCGTGGTTGAAACAAAGGATCGGTCCTGCCAGGCGGCCGCATGCACACGCACATCGACCCTTCCTTTTTCTAACCTAACCGAAAGCAATTGAACCTACACGGGGGAATGTCTCCATATCTCCAGGCGAAAAAAGTGTCCACGCGAAATGTGTCATATGCTCAGGCACCCAACAACCCCGGACAAATCCCTTCTGAGCCATCCGGAAGGCCTTCCGGACACAGGCTTGAGAGTGACGGGGGCAATGGTCCAGCACCGCCTGATCTTGGCTGGCGGCGGTGGTCGAACTTTTCAATGAACCATCGGGACCATTTGGGCGAGGAAAGCAAAACATCTGCACTGCGCGAACGAACCAAGATACCCCTTATTCTAACAACATGAGGCAGTGGAAACAGCCCGAGATCTGGAAACAGTCAAGATTTTTGCTTCTCACACTGGCACAAGGAGAGCATTTAGCGTTGCAGGATGTTGCAGGTTAGCGGCGCCTGTGGGTTCAACGTTTTAAGGTTGCGGTGCTCACACTCGGACAATCCAGGCGAGGCAGATTAGGTGAGAGGTTGTTGTCTTAACCTTAGAAAATATTTCAATCGCACGATGCTACAATCCCTGCGCGGGTCCGAGAATGCCTCCTCGCCATGCGGTCCGGTCGCGAGGCATGGCCAAGGCAATCACTTCGAACCCAGGCGACGGAGGTGGTCTTGTTCATCGGTTCTTTTGTCGCAGGGGTTTACAACTCGGACTCTGCCAGATGAGGTCTACCTCCGGAATACATATTAAACCGCACCACGAAGCGTCGCTTAGTGTTTTCATGTCGGGATCTGGCATCTCCACCCTCCAGTTGTGTACAGAATTTGTGAAACTGCGAGGCACTATGTCACTGTGGCATTGTGAGCTTCTTCGAGTCTTCGTTCGGGTCACGGTCATCCTCCGCGACAACCTCTCACGTCAGCTGGGCCGTGCGACGTCGGCGTTGTCCTGCCTCCTTCCGACCTCTTACCGGAGAATACCGAGGCGAGATGGCTGGTCTTCTCGAGGCCCTCGTGATGAGTCGCTGTCAGTCTTCGAGTCTTCGCTGCTCCACGGACTTCATTGTGCCATGCCATGCGCCGCTGCGGTGCAGCACAGCCCAATCTTCATCCTCTTGTCCTTCGTCCTTGGCTGCGCGCCCCAGGCCCCCAGGCCTCTTTCGAAACCCCCCTGTTTGGGCATCGGTCATACGCCCCAGGGCCCGCTCCTCCGCTCTGCTTCCAGAAGGCCCGCTCCTCCGCTCTCTGCTCCTCGCCTGCGAGGCTTGTTGCAGGGAGACTAATACTCGAGTTTCTTTTGGGCTTGCAGACTACGGTGCTGTCGGGTTCAGAGCTAAGGGCTCGCAGGACGCTTGAGGGTTGGGTCGCTGGGCTTGGAGACATAAGGATAACGGGCAAACAAGTAGATTGCACGGAGAAATCACGATTTTGAGGCACGTGCAAGCACCAGTGACTCCCTGGAAGTGGCAGAATCGCATCACCACTTGTCTGCTGATGGTTCGACAGCACCTAACCCAAAATCCCCAAGAAAGCTCGAAGCGAAATTATGATTCTGCCAGAGCTCCACTACGCTAGTGCCACGGCCCGAAACGCCAAATCGTCTTGCATTCAAGAGCCCCCACGTCTGACTCGAAAATGCAAGCTTGTGCGGTTGTTGCTGGGATCGTGCTGTGGTATGTCGATGACAGCGACTCATCCTACTGCCACACGACCCAAGACCCACAACCGCTGCAGTTGTAGCTACAATTGCATGGCCATTCCCTCCAGGCATCGCTTTTAGTGTACCACTGCTTCAAATTATTTGCCAGACAGGCTGCTGAGACGAAGCCCCAGGTGTGTAAAGATCATGCGGCGTGCCACCTCAACTCTGGCTTATGGTCGCGCTGGTTGGATACGAGAAGCCAAAGAAAAGAACGTACGATGATATAAACAACGATAATGATATAACTGTGTACTCCATGTAAGGACAACATCAAGAAGGCATGTGTTTGATTGAGCTGGAGTCACGCACTATAACTACACGTACCACTGCTCTTTCTTGAAGGAGCAGCAGCAGCAGTAGCAGTAGCAGTAGCAGTAGCAGTAGCAGTAGCAGTAGCAGTAGCAGTAGCAGTAGCAGTAGGAGTAGGAGTAGGAGTAGGAGTAGGAGTAGGAGTAGGAGTAGGAGTAGGAGTAGGAGTAGGAGCAGTAGTAGTAGTAGTAGTAGTAGTAGTAGTAGTAGTAGTAGTAGTCGTACTAGTAGTAGTACTAGTAGTAGTAGTAGTAGTAGTAGTAGCAGTAGTAGTAGTAGTAGAAGTAGTAGTAGTCGTACTAGTAGTACTAGTGGTAGTAGTAGTAGTAGTAGTAGTAGTAGTAGTAGTAGTAGTAGTAGTAGTAGCACTAGTAGTACTAGTAGTAGTAGAAGTAGTAGTAGTAGTAGTAGTAGTAGTAGTAGTAGGAGTAGTAGTAGTAGTAGTAGTAGTAGTAGTAGTAAAAGTAGTAGTACAAGTACTAGTAGTACAGTGTGCGGGGAGAGAGGTCCGGTATTCGACCAAGGTAGTACGGTCAATCTTGCAATCTGGCTTTTGCAAGGGGGTTCAAAATTGAAGGCCAAGCTTGCCCAAGAACCAGTTGCACCACTGTAACTTGCACCACTTGCACCACCTGGGGGTGAGGGGGGGCAGTCTTGCCAGTCTTGCCGGTGCAAGTGGTGCAAGATTAGCAATCCATTGCAAAATTTTAGAACTCTTGCTCCCAAACAGAACGCTTCGTTTCCCAACACAATGTAGTAGAAGTGGTAGTAGTTGTAGTAGCAGGAGTAGTAGTAGTAGTAGTAGAAGTAGTAGTAGTAGTAGTAGTAGTAGTAGTAGTAGTAGTAGTAGTAGCAGTAGCAGTAGCAGTAGCAGTAGCAGTAGTAGTAGAAGTAGTAGTAGTAGTAGCTGTAGTAGCAGTAGTAGTTGTTGTTGTTGTTGCTGTTGCAGTGGTAGTAGCGGCAGGAGTGGTAGTAGTGGTAGTGGCGGCAGTAGTGGTAGCAGTGGTAGTAGGGTAGTAGGTGGCAGTAGTAGTCGTCGTCGTCGTAGTGCGACTACGACTACGACTACTACTACTACTACTACTACTACCACTACCACTACCACTACTAATACTACGACGACTGCTACTGCTAGTGCTAAGGCTACTACTACGTCCGCGACGACTACTACTACTGCTACAAGTAGTTTGTGTCACCCACATGGCACGGCTCTGACGTTAGTTGCTGCAACAATGAGCTTGTTATCAAATGACAAAACAATCAAATCTACCGGGTTAGGAAATGACGTGAAATGCGTGGGCAGCGTGCGCAAATGCCCGCAGACGTTCGCGTGCGTGTGCGAAAGGCGCGGGCCCACCCCCTGGTCTGAATCGTATGTCTTCAAATGGGGCAAGCGAAAACGGAACTCCACAAGTCGCGCGGGGGAAAACAATCTTCCATTGCCGTCACAGGGAAGCGAATTCCACGGCATTCTAGTCAAGCAAGCTGGGAAGGAATTCCACACGTTTCGCGTCGTTCGAATCGGCCAAGCGAAGGGAGGAACTCCGCAGGACGAGTGTCGCCATGTTCAAGTCGGGAACCTCACAAGAGCGTGGGATGGTTGTGGCTTTAGGAAGATTATCAAGCATAATATTAATGGAAAAATCCTCACAGCTAAATTAGCTAATTAGATCAAAAACACAAAGAAAATGCATTTATATGAAGAAATCCCGTGAAAGCAGCATCAATTACTTATCGAAATAAAAAGCTGCAAAAAAAACCTTAGTTTTCTCCATGAAAATTAAGCCGGACTTTGATGCGCAGCAGCAGTACCCTGGAGACAAAGAAGTAAGTAGGAAAGTACAATCAAGTTGACGTGAGGGAACATGTCCACGCAGTTTCGGCGTAGACTTACACAATCGCCCAAAACCGACAGATCGGGAAGGCCTCAGTCGCTTTGCGCACGACATCAGCTCCAAGATCATGTTGCATGGAGGTTCAAAAGATGCAACTTCTGTCAATGTTGCCGTATTCACACAACGTGAGGGATACCTGAACATACCTGAATCGTCGTAGTAGTAGTAGTAGTCGTCGTAGTAGGAGGAGTAGCAGTTGTTGTTGATGTGGTTGTTGATGTTGTTGTTCTTGTTGTTGTTGATACTGTCGTTGTGAAGTAACAGAAGTAGTCGTCGCCGTAGCAGTGCACTAGTAGTAGTAGTAGTAGTAGTAGTAGTAGTAGTAGTAGTAGTAGTAGTAGTTTTGCACGTAGTAGTAGTAGTAGTAGTAGTAGTAGTAGTAGTGGTAGTAGTAGTAGTAGTAGTAGTAGTAGTAGTAGTAGTAGTAGTAGTAATAGTAGTAGTAGTAGTAGTAGTAGTAGTAGTAGTAGTAGTAGTAGTAGCAGGCAGTAGTAGTAGTAGTAGTAGTAGTAGTAGTAGTCGCAGTGGGCGTCGTCGCCGTAGTGGTGCACTAGTAGTAGTAGTCGTAGTAGTAGTAGTAGTCGTCGCAGTGGTAGTGGCAGTGGCAGTGGTAGCAGCAGGGGTCATAGTCGCAGTCGTCGTAGTAGGAGTAGGTGTACGAGTAGGAGTAAGAGTAGGAGTAGTAGTAGGAGGTAGAAGCAGCAGCAGTAGTCGTGGTAGTAGTAGTGGTAGTAGTAGTAGTAGTAGTGCACTAATACAAGTAGTAGTAGCAGCAGCAGGAGCAAAACTGTTGTGGCGGCGGTGGTGCCTGTTGCTGTTGCTGGCTTTTAGTTGTTAGTTGTTGCTGCGGCAGTAAGCGTACGAGCAGGAGTGGGAGCAGGATTTCGATGCTGTTGTAGGCAGGTCCCGAATAGCAGGACGATGTGGGTCTCGTCATGTCTCGTCACAGTCTTCGTCAAACCAAAGGCTCAACAGCATCAAACTCGGGAAAACCACGCATGTTGTCTCAGCACAAACAGGCCGCAGCCCAAAGCGTAGCTGATCTCAGAAGGTTTCCTGGGATGGTTGGACACCTGCATAACCTTCGGGATCTTTACCCTGCTCGAGTTAGCTGCGCGGTGAAGAAGTTGGTGTCATGGCGCCACTGCCGTCGTAGATGGCCGAGTCGGCTCGTCACCGGTGCTGAGCTTCTCCTGCAAAACGCAACTCGTTGTTCGAATCATTGTCTTCGCCACTACTACTATTCATAGCGGCAGTAAGCTTGCAGATCCTTGCGCTAATGAACAATGTTCTTACTCTTTGCTCTCTCTTCTGATTCTTACAACCACTACAGAAACGTCACACTGTCGCTATGATTGATACGGTTGCTATTGTCGTTTGCACTACTACCAAGAAAATGATTGTCCGGTATGATCATTGTTGTTGTTGTTGTTGTTGTTGCTGGCGTTGCTGCTGCTCTTGCTGTAGCTGGGGCTGAGCCCGCAGGTTCGCCTGTGGCTTTTGCAGTTGCTACTGCTGCTGCTGCTGCTGTTGATGTTTCTGTGGCTGTTGCTGGCATTGCTGTGTTGCTGTTGCTGCCGTTGCTGTTGTCGTCGTTGTCTCTTTCACGATTTCGTTGTTGTTGCCGTTGTGGTTGATGTGTCGTTGACGCTGCCTTGTTGCTATTGCACTGTTTGTTGCTGTTGGTGTTGTCGATGTTGTCGTCGTCGTGGCCTTGGTTGTGGTTGTGCGTGTTCTTGTGGCTGTTGTCGCTGTTGCTGGTGGTGTTGTGGCGCTGTTGTTATGGTTCTTGTTGTCGTCGTCAGCATCGTCGTCTTTGTTGTCGGCAGCGGTGGTGGCGTTGTGAACGTCTGAACGAACGGATGCGTGCATGGATGGATGGGTGGATGGAGTGCAATAAGATGAAATGGGAGTCGAAAGAAAAACAAGTGTAAGATAAACAAATTAAGCAAAGAAGGAAACAAACATGCTTTCACGGATGAGTGCATACATGCATGAAGGCATGAGTGAACGAATGAATGGTTGCTGCGCTTGTACTGATGTAAAAACTGAAACTGTGGCGCTGGAACATAGGAAGACGGAACACGACAGCAGCATGAATTTGCTGACTGGCTCGCAGTCAGCACCGTTCAAGCTTGTCAGCCGAAAATGCAGGTGGCTCCGTTGGAGAAAGTTTTTTTTGCATCCATGTCTCTGACGCTAGCCGGGTTAAGCCAACAGGTGCGCAGCATGATCACCGAATCCAGGTCTGACAACAGTTCATCGCACAGAATGTTGAAAGTACTAACCTGAGCCTCATACACCCCACTGCTTACGTTGACGAGAGAAGCAAAGGCAGGGTAGTCGCCACGAACCATTGAAAGGGAAATAGTCCGCG